AACAGGGGGAATGCGCTCGTAGTGGTAATGGTAATCCCAAACGAGAGGACACGCTGTCATTGGCTGGCGTTGCACGAGACTGACCATGCGTTCTTGGTTTGCCCGTCCGTGAATATTCCGTCACGCTTTGGGGTGGGCTTTGTGGAACGAGCAGGAGGAAGCGCGTGAAGAGAATCGCAAGCAGGTACATAACTTTGGCTGACGCTCGCACAACCCTGGTTGTGCATGTGGCCCGCCTTCTTGAGCTGGCTCTCATGTCGCTCGCGTGTGCAGGTGGTCGAGGAAGACCGTGTGAGCAAATTGCCCAAGGGCTACGAGAAGCGCAAAGCTAACGCCGAATGGGAGCTTGAAGATCAAGCCAAGCGCGAGGTACGCGGCACAGTGCTTGACCCCCCTTTGTAGCCATGCTCAAGCCAGAGGTGCTGGCTGCGCAGCGAGCTCTCATCTGGCCGACACTTGCACATCCAGGCGGCCGAGGCCGAGGGGAAGGATTATGCTCGAGTCAAGGCCATGCAGATGAGCGTGGATCAAGCAGAGCGCCATGTGAAGAAGCGCACTCACAAAAACGTGGACGAAACCATCGACCGCACAGCCTATTCTTACAGTGCGTATTACCAACACCCAACCCAACTTCGGGCTTGATGTTTCTCTTGCCATCGCACCATCCGCATGGCAAACTCACATGACGCCCTAAACTCGGTGTGGGGGTGCCGCGGTCCTCTAGCTGCGCTGAAGCAGTACGAAAACATGACCAAGAAAATCAAGCCCAACATGGGCCAGTATTCGGCGTCAATGCAAGGCGACCAAGACCATAGGTCTGATTGCAACCTGACCTTCTACTTCAGCGGTTTTTTTTTTTGTGATGTTTGCCTTCATGGTCGCTGACCCTGCCTGGACTCAATGTGACTTCTGCACGCAGCGCGGATAGTTTACGGCTGGGCACCCACAGGCCATCGGCCGCGGCCATTGACGACATGGTAGAGGATCTGGAAAAGGCGTACGTGACTGCATCCGTGGCGAACGATGGCTTGAAGTACGTTACACCTCTCAAACCGCTTGTGTCTGCCGGTTGTGTTGGCAGGATCAAGCGCAAGGAGAAGCTCAAGGATCGCCGCCGCCGCGGTGATGTGGTCTTCGAGGAGAGTGATGTCAACTTTATCAATGACAAGTGCGTTGCATTTGTGTCCCGGCTTCCCTGCTCTGCTGCAAATTCCCGTTTTGTTTTGCTTGTTGTTGTTGTTGTTGTTGTCGTTTTTGGCCACCATCCTTGTGCACCCGCTCGTCAACGTGGGGCTTGGCCCGCTGCACAGGCTTTGGCTCATCAACACTTTGTTTTTCATTGCTGTTGCTCTATTTCCCAACAGGAACATGAAGTACAATCGCAGTCTCGAAAAGTTCTACGGCTCTTACAGCCGTGAGATCAAGGATAATCTTGAGCGTGGTACCGCCTTGTAAAAAAAGGATCATCTACCCAGCCCATTTCTGAGGAGGGGCTTTCTGAGGATGGGCAATACTCTTGCCGCCCGCAATTTGTATACCAAAAGAAGAGTCTGACTGATGGAAAAGGTGGTGGTCTTGCCAACTTCACCATTCCTTGGTTCCTATCGCCACGGCGCTGTTGTCCCTTGAGTGTGCTGTTGTACATGTAGTAGTGTTATTGTTGCCTTTGTGTGCGAGGAGACGGGATTGGTACGTGTGATGGCAATCGTCCCTGACAGCGGTCTTCGGATCGAATTCAAGCACCAACAACCTTGATCATGGATTCGAGGTGGGATTTAACATGGATCCTGGTTATACTTGGCCGGATTCCCGGCTTGCACTAACAATAGTTGAGTGGAGACATGCAAAACAGCGGCGCAATAATCTAGATTCGATTCTGGGTGGACGAGCCGGTTGGTTGGACCAGCGGAACGTGTAGGATCTCTCGGAGAGCAGGTGCGACAAGAGGGCAGGGGTTAGCTATTCGCATGAGCGGAGCATTGACGGCAGCGATGGAGGGTTGCCTCGTTCAGGCCCTCGTCTTGCATATGGTGCGGCAAGGGCATGTGTTGTAGGAATTCGCTTTGATGAGTGAATGAGTCCGCGACCATGGTGTCCGTGTACAATTTGCCCTGGAGATGATCAACCTGACGTTGCAAGGGATGAATTGAGCACGCAAGCAGAGGTGCAAAGCCAGAGCAAATGGAATGCCAATGATCCCCCACCTCGTGCTGCACAATGCGTGCTGCAAAGCCGTCAAGCTCAAGGCGCAAGGGCTCGCCGGTCACAGCATTGATGCCCTCCAGCTGCGAGTTGGTCAATTTTGGGAGTGCAGGGCGGCATGAGCCATGAGCGGGGCTTCATTTTTCGTCGTGAAGCAAGGCGAAGTGAAGTGCCGGGTACTAACGCAGACGCTATCAGCACGGGGCACAAGAGCTGTAAACTCCGGCACGCTGATGCAGCCTTCACGGCGAGTGACACGTGCGTTCCCCAGCGTGATTTTTGGGTTGGCAACGACTAGAATCGGCACGTGGGGTGAGCACGCCCTGGTGCGATTGTGCATGGCAGCTGAGCACCGCGTCTGGGATGAGGCGTACTTGTGAGAGGAACGATGGTCATTTGACGATGACGATTGTCAAATATCTGTGACTCGCTTGCGATGGTGTCAGCATCCAGCTCCATGGCAAAGAGCTGTGTACGCGTCGGGATTAGGAGCACCCGATAGCGTGAGGAAGGGGGCGTGGTGCGTGTGTGTGCGTGTGCGTGTGCGTGTGTAGCTGCGCGTTGTGCCAAACCTGAAGCTCGTGGCCAATTTGCGGTGCGGCCAGGCCACAGCCGCTGTGGTGGCGCATCGTCTCGACGAGCATTTCGCAGTACTCCCGACCCTCGGTGGACTGCAGCCATGCTGGCGCAACCGGTGCAGCCCTTTGACGCAATGCTGGGTGTCCTGCCAGCGCCAACTTGGCCACATGGCCTGGTCTCCGTAACCAGCTCATCAGGCGACCCATGCCCGACACCAGCCGGGTCTGCACCCACAGCAGCAGCAGAACCAACGTGAGTGACAGGCTCCAGACCACGCCTCTGATAGATGAACCAAGCCCCACCTGCTCCCAGCAATTGCTCCTCCTCAAACACGATCACCGCCGTCGCCGCCGTCGCCGTCGCCGTTTGCCGTCACACACACTCACACACGCACTAAAACTGCTTTGAATTGACTTTTGATGCCATATGTTGACTTTATGTAGTATCTATAGATAATCTAGTGTAATTTGTTGAAGATAAAATAAGACTTTTTGTGCCTACCTTTTTTGCTCTGTGTGTGTGTGGGTGTGTGTG